AAGTAACCATGAGACTTTGTTCATTATTTACGAAATGGTTACTATTTGTAAATGCAGAAGTTCAATCTTTGTGATGATCCACGACGGTCTTCAGATTTCTCATGACGTTTTTATGTGACTGATACGTTCAAGTGGCTTTTTGGGTTTTTAAGCAATCATTTGGTGCTTAATTTCGGCATTATGACATTGATAGTGGCTGTCATTTTCTCGCCTAATTTGTTAGTCAGTTATTAAAGTAAACAAGAGATTTTGTTCGTTATTTATGAAAGGGTTTTATTTGTAAATGCAGCAAGTTCAATCTTTGTGATGATTTACGATGCGATGGTCTTTAGATTCCACATGACTTTCATTCGTAAGCTGAGGCTTCAACTAGGTTGTTTAATCACTGAGCGATTAATTGGTTATTTAAATTAGGATTTTCTAGTGGTTCTTGGTTTTGAATCAAAATTATCAATCTTTTGACGTTGGTGCTTAATTCTCGTTCTTTTGACGTTCAAATTTTTTTTGTGTCCTCGGTGGATCTTTTGCATTCAATAAAACGCTGGTAGTTTTGGTCTTCTTTTATGAATTGTTTTTGATTTCAACATGCCACAAATTAAATCTTTGTGATGATACACGACGGTCTTCAGATTTCACATGTTCTTTTATAACTGATATTTTCAAGTGCCTTTTTGGGTTCTTAAACAACCATTTGGAGCTTAATTTTTGCACTATGACCTTGATAGAGACTGTCATTTTCTCGCCTAATTTGTTAGTCAGTTATTAAAGTAACCACGAGACTTTGTTCCTTATTTATGAAATGGTTTTTCTGTAATTGCAGCAAGTTCAAGCTTTGTGATGGTTTACGATGATCTTTAGATTTCAAATTACCTTCAATCGGTGGCTGAGGCTTCAATCCGGTTGTTTAATCGCTGGGCGATTATTTTGTGAATTTTAATTTGGATTTTCTAGTAGTTTTTTGGTTTTTAACAAGAAGTTTTAATTTAAATTCTTTTGATTTTTTACCTTGAACTGAAGTTTTATAGCTTGTTTCCTGATTGCGGTTGGTTTTTTTTTGATGATAAACGACAATCTTCAGATTTCACATGATGTTGATGTTGTAATGTAACTGATTTGCTCAAGTGGCCATTTTGCGCTCATAAATTTACGTTTGGTGCTTGATGCTCATTCTTTTGACATTTAAATGTTTTTTGTTTTCTCGTTGGGTTTTTTGCTTTCAATTAAACGCTGGCTGTTTTGTTCTTTCTTTTGTGAAATGGTTTTTATTTATACAGGCCACAAGTTCAATCTCTGCGATGATACACGACGGTCTTCAGATTTCAAATGACGTTCTTATGTAACTGATACATTGAAGTGGCTTTTTGGGTTTTTAAAAAATCATTTGAAGTTTAGTTTTCGCATTTTGACATTGATAGTGGCTGACATTTTCTCGCACAATTTGTTAGTCAGTTATTAAAGTAACCACGAGACTTTGTTCCTTATATCTGAAATGGTTTTTATTTGTAAATGCAGCAAGTTCAAGCTTTGTGATGATTTACGATGGTCTTTAGATTCCACATGACCTTCAATCGTAAGCTGAGGCTTCAGCTAGGTTGTTTAATCACTGAGCGATTAATTGGTTAATTTTAATTTGGATTTTCTAGTGGTTTTTGGTTTTGAATCAAAATTATCAATCTTTTGACGTTGGTGCTTATTTCTCGTTCTTTTGACGTTCAAAGGTTTTTTGTGTTCTCGGTGGATCTTTTGCTTTCAATAAAACGCTGGTAGTTTTGGTCTCTCTTTTATGAATTGTTTTTGATTTCAACATGCCACAAATTAAATCTTTGTGATGATACACGACGGTCTTCAGATTTCACATGATGTTCTTTTATAACTGATATTTTCAAGTGGCTTTTTGGGTTCTTAAACAACCATTTGGAGCTTAATTTTTGCTTTATGACCTTGATAGTGGCTGTCATTTTCTCGCCTAATTTGTTAGTCAGTTATTAAAGTAACCACGAGACTTTGTTCCTTATTTATGAAATGGTTTCTCTGTAATTGCAGCAAGTTCAAGCTTTGTGATCGTTTACGATGATCTTTAGATTTCAATTTACCTTCAATCGGTAGCTGAGGCTTCAATCCGGTTGTTTAATCACTGGGCGATTATTTTGTTAACTTTAAGTTGGTTTTTCTAGTAGTTTTTTGGTTTTTAACAAGAAGTTTTAATTTAAATTCTTTTGATTATTTATCTTTTGATTATCTTGTGATGATACACGACGGTCTTCAGATTTCACATGACGTTCTTATGTAACTGATATTTTTAAGTGGATTTTTAGGTTCTTAAACAATCATTTGGTGCCCAATTTTCTTCAATATGACGATTATTTTGGCCAGATATTAGTCAGATATTGAATTAACTATGAAATTTTCTTTCTTATTTAGGAATTGGTTTTTTTTGTAGATTCAGCAAGTTCAAGCTTTGTAATTATTTCCGATGGTCTTTAGATTTCACATGCCACAAATTCAATTTTTGTGATGATACACGATGGTGTTCAGATTTCACATGATGTTCTTTTGTAACTGATATGTTCAAGTGGCTTTTTGGGTTCTTAAAAAATCATTTGGTGTTTTTTCCCAATATAACGATGATATTGGCTGACCTTATCTCGCCTTCTTTGTTTTTAGTCAGTTAGTAAAATAACCATGAAATTTTTTCCCTTATCTATGAAATGGTTTTTATTTGTAAATGCAGCAAGTTCAAGTTTTTGATGATTTACGACGGTCTGAAGATTTTACTTGAACGTACACGGAGGTTTCAAGCGTGTTGTTCAATCACTGGGCAACTGATTTAATAGTAGTTATTTGGATTTTCTAGTGATTTTCGATTTTTTTAATAAGTTTTTAATTTAGCTACTTTCAATTTTTTTCTGTAGCTAAGGTTTCATTGTTTTTTTTTCTGATTCCAATTGGTTTTTGCAATGATACAAGACGGTCTTCAGAAGTCACATGACGTTGTAATGTAATTGATTTGTTCAAGTGGCTTTGTTGGGTTCATAAACTATCGTTCATTGTTTTTTTAATTATGTTGTTTAAGAGGCGTTTTCGTTATCTCATTTTTGAAATAGTTCTTACGTTGAAAATTGCAGCAAATAGAGCCATTGTGCCTGTCTAGGAATTGACGTTTTTCATGACGGTGTTTTTTTCTCAGTTTTGAATTGGATTTACTTGAAAATGCAGCAACCGCAACCTTCATGATGATAAAAGACGCTCTTCAGATTATTCTAATGTAAATGATTTATTTTAGTGGCTTTTTCGGGGTTCAAAAACTATCATTTGGTGCTTTATTTTCAGCACTATGACATTGATAGTTGTTGATGTTTTTGTGTTACCATTTGTGCGATGGTTTTTAATTGAAAATGCGGCAAGTTGAGTCATTGTGATGATACACGACGGTCTTCAGGTTCGTTTTCAGCTTTGGTTTTTCTAGTGGATTTCGAAGTTGTTGTTTTAATGATCAGAAATATTAGTTTGGCCACATTCGATTTTTTGTATAGTTAAGGTTTTATTGTTTCTCATCAATTGCTCCCAGTTTCAATATTTCTGATGATACACGACGGTCTTCAGATCTTGAATGATTTGACTTCGTAGTGATGTCTACCGGTTTATCTTTGTTTTGTTTTCAATTGTTTTTGTGTTTTCTGAGTCGAGATTGTATACTATGTTTTCATGCACTAGGAGATCTATATTTCTTTATTTTTTGAGATGTATTGTAATTTTAGCAAAGTCGTTTTTGAAATCAGAATTGCACCCAAAATGAATAATAATGATCATGACAGTTTTTCGATTTCAAATAACGTTTAAGTTGTGGTGGTTCCTTCTATTTATTTTCTGCTTGATTTTCTCTTCAGGTTATTAGTTTTCTGTTCCACTTGATCCGCACATTGCATAGCTTGTTAATCAGCAATTTATGCTGTTTTTGCTCGTTTTTGAGGATTGTCATGATACCGCGTCTTCTTATTACAAATGAATGTCAAAATTTCCCTGATTCGATTTGAATAAAACCTTGTTAAAGTGACTGATTAAAGTTCAGACTCTTATATAGAACGCGATGATTTGTTTTTAGTTTTTTTCAGGAAGTGTTAAATTTTGTTCAGGCTAAAATTTACTTTATTGCAGTTTGACTTTTGATTTATTTTTAAGTTCAGTTCGTTTCCTTTGAAAAACGTGATCGACTTCTAGTGTCGAAAGAGGAATTTATCTTTCAGATTTCCCAGCGACATAAAAAGTTTTCCGATTAATCCAGTGTTCTCAGATTGGGCGAATAAAAAAGTGTCGATTATAATTTTTTCTAGAAATTCAGAGCCTCAAGGCCATCTATTTCCCTGAAATTCGAAGCTCAGTCAGTGTTTTTTTTTTGTTTAGCGTTCAACTTTTTTCAACTGTCTGTTGGCTGTTTGTAAATAGAGATGTAACGTTTGAACTTTGTATACTGTGTAACGTTTGTCTGAGATGTTTGTAGATATTATGTTGAATCCATAGATTTTCTGACATTATCTATTTTGATTTCTAATATCTGTTCGAGTTTTTTTTTAAACTTGACTTATTGTGCAATCGGGGGTGAAGTTGGTTTTGTTTTGGATGAATGGCAATACAAAAGTAGCAGATTTTAGGTATTCGTTTCAAGTATTGGGTCTTTTATAGAGATATGTCGTATACACTTCTATGACTTATATTTAAATATGTAAAAATTCTGAAATGAAATTTTCGCCAATCGTTTTATAAGCTTGGAAAAAAAACAAATGTAATATTGACCGAAGTAACGGTAAATAAGGAAATAATTCAATCACATACTACTATAAAAAGTTCGTTTAGTCCAAAAGTATTTTGCAAGCTAAAGAAAACATTCTAGACATGAAAATGCAGGACATCATTCTAAATGGCATTTAAATTTTTGTTGATTTCATTAGCGATTGAAAGGCTTGTCACTTACAAGTTCATTTAAAGAAAAAAAATTGTTTCAGGTGTTCAGCAGGGACAAGACATGAACAAGCTTTTCAAGGCCGAGTGGGAGGCACTTGAGGTTGTCAATCACGAGTTCGCACTTGAGAATGTAGAAGATGAACTGATGCGAGGATGGCAGATCCCAGACAGGTACTCAGCTAATAATTTTCAAACTTTTTTTTGTTTAAGATGTCGCCGAAAATAAGTCACGATTACATAAAGGCGGTGTTAATGACCATGGACTTTGTCAACTTTCCCTCATCAAGTTTCCCTCGCAAAAACTAAACACAGCGTTTCTTTGTTACGTTTCCTTGGTAATTCTCAAACTTGATTGAATCAAAATTGGTTTCAGCTGTTCATGTAAATTTTATTATTCTTGAGTTACTAAAACCAAGATAAGTTGCTCTCCATATACGTTGACTGCAAACGTCTTAATCGCAATAGCGATCTTAATCCTAATGATTTGATAACTCGATACTGTTAATCAAATTCATGCGTGTTGATTGTATCCGAAATTGTTTTCTAGAGATTGATAGTCATTTCAGGTATATCACAGGGACGAATTCGATCAGGCCGAGTAACGCCCACCAGCAACATAACGGTCACACTGCCTCGAACCCATCATACTAACCCAGAAAAATAGGACCCCATTTCCAATCAAACAATAAGAGGAGTATCAACGAATTATCAGAAAATATTCCTATTTGTCCTTCGAGACTCAAATGATTGTTAAAGAGAACTGTTGCTATTCGGAGATGCAATCTTAACATTAATTTCGATGAACTGTCTGGTATTTTGAAGAAGTTTTTGTAGCCATAGAGAGTTGAAAAGCTTTACAGCAAGTTCATTAAATAGTCATTCATTACCTATTCGACTGCAATTCCTCTCGAAGTAATTAATTTGTTGTATTTTTGAAGAAGTTTTTTTCTTTACCCCGCTGCTATTTATTTGCTAATTATTTTCCTCGCCGTGTACCTCGTTTAAAATTTAATATTGAAGCTATCTCTCTTTTAATTGTAAGTTTCGAGTCATCTTTGTTGCTGTCTGCCGAATGGGGAATGAGTTGTTTCCACTAGCGAGTAGCATAGTGTATTAGTGCGAACCTTCTTTTTTTCTAACCTAATTCGCAAATAAAAATGTTCATTAAAAGTGTTCATTTATTTGGTGGGACTATTGCCATAATCACGATCTATAGCATTGGAAATTTCATAGCATCTGTTCTCTGCTTTATTTGTGGCTAGTTTTTGTAACCTATTAAGCGTCCGTGGCTGAGTGATTTGTGCTTGAGTATCATTTTCTCTAGGTCGCTGTAGGCCGTCACCGAATTTTTACAAATTCGAGGCCTTTTTCTCCACTTTATTGCATTTTATAGAGCTGCTTTTTGTGTTCTTGCTAGTGTTTGCGAGGGAAGCTTGGCCTCTGTGTAAACATTAGCACTAGCATTTAACTCTTCCATATCAAAAAAAAGCATTCGAGTAATCTTTCTACAATTCTGCTGCACCCTTTTTCGACTGATTAACCCTGAAGTGTAATAGCTAATTTGAACAGGGAGTGTACTTAAAAACGCGACTGAAACTTTCAAAATAAACAAAAACTTTTGGGAGCATTTCTAATGATTGATTCTAAAAACAATGTATGGCGGCATTATTGACTGCTGAAATAAGCATCAAATCTTAAGTTTTTATGACGCTAGATATACCTCTTTTTCATGTTAGTCACCAACGTTTTCCGATCGAAATGCTGTGCAGAATCATAAGATGGAGATTTGTGTAGATAGTATTCAATCAGTAGTTAATGCATGTGATGGTGGGGCGAGTAGACTGGAGCTGTGCTCGGCTCTTTCCCTAGGGGGACTAACACCGTCCATGTCACTGTTTAAACTCACTAAGAGAAAGTACCCAAACATGCCTGTCTTTGTAATGATCAGACCACGAGAAGGCAATTTCATGTAAGTACCTGGAAATTTGAAATTGAAATAAGTTACAACTTAAGTGCGCAACAAAACAAGCATTGTGCATGAGTGTTAATTTTCAGAGAAGTAAAATTTTGACGGTTTTGTGCAAGTAGCACAGAACGTTTCAGTGTCGCTTTTTTGTTTGAGCAGATAAACTGTTTCCAGGAAATTTGCCGTGAGTTTTGATTGTCTGTAGTTATTTTTGTGAAATTGATCACGAAAACATCAAAATGTTTTAAATTTCTTTCAGATTTTTTAAGCATTAAACTAAATTTCAATAACTAGGATTTGAAATATGAATATAAAGAACGATGCGAGCTTTGATTTCTAAATCTTGTTTTCAAGGATGATATAGGACAACATTCACTGTAGATTTAAACAAAATTGTTACATTGACCGAGAAAGAATTATCAGAGCTACCCTCTATAAAATTATTAAACCTTGGTGGGCTTACCTGTTTTTTTTCCGGAGCTGAAATGCCTTTTTTTCATCATCTGCGCTAAGTGGTGCATCGGAGTGATTTCCTTCTCGAGTAAGCTGAGAAAAAAAGTTGTTCATGCAATGTGAAACATTCTAAGCAATAAATTTGAACTGTTCATTGTGATAAGTTTACTAAACTCAGATGTTTCTTATAATCTCACGCGTTTTGAAAAATTTAGTGCGGATGGTGAAATCTTCATTTTCAGACCCGGAGTCTCAATAAAATTTGAATTCATTGCCATTTTTTTGAAAGATGAAAAACATTTTTCTGAAAAATTCGTGAATTTGAGTAACACGAGCCCCCATGAATTTGAGTAACACGAGCCCCCTATCTAATTACCTTTGCGACAAGAAAGGGAATTGCAATCGGATACTGGTCTCAACTGGACTAATTTCCTAGAAGCCTCTATTAGCATCAAAATTACCGCTACAGATTTGTTTTGTGCATGTTAGCAATTTAAATATCTATTCTATTGGAAATTTGCTTTTTATTTCGGTTGTAATTTTATCAACTCGATTTGTTTAAATTTCATTTTTCTTTTTTTTGGCTTGATAGGTTTCGGCTTGTAAAATATTGGGTTAGTGACTTCATATTACGTCGTTCGAAAGCAAACAAATTTTTGTGTGCGTGTGTGTATTTCGAGGGTGAGATGGATTTCATATTTTTTAGTCAGAAGTTTGTATGAATTTTTTATCGGCTTTTAACACTTGCAATAAGCAAGGGTATTGCAATCTTGTACTAGACTTTTTTCCCTTAAATAACTTTGCTCACAGATCAGTATACATGCAGCTCACGACATGTATGCAGTATGTGCGTCTATTTGAATCGACATATTTTAAGTTTTGGTCTTTTACTCCCACTGTGCATCATCATTATTAGTGTTCAATAGTTCAAAAGTTTTTAATGATATTTCTCTGGTAGTTTTAAAGTTTTTGGCTTTTTTGCTCGGTTTATTTTTTGATGGCTTAGTTTCCATTTTTTACGAACCAACTACCTTACTCATTAGAATGTTTTTTATGGAGGCTAGGAAGTTAAATAATTTGTCGGATTGAAGTCTTGGAATTTTTTGTTGAACAATTTTTCGACCAAGTCTATAAATTTTTTAAGTTTTTGGCTTTTTCGCTCGGTTTATTTTTTGATGGCTTAGTTTCCATTTTTTCGAGCCAACTACCTTGCTCATTAGAATGTTTTTTGTTTTTTATGGAGGCTAGGAAGTTAAATAACTTGTCGGATTGAAGTCTTGGTATTTTTTGTTGAACAATTTTTCGACCAAGTCTATCGCCTTTAATACTTTCCTTTTTTCCAATGAATTGATATTTTTCCTTCAATTATTAAACACTTTCGTTTTTTTTTCAAGAATATAAATGTAAAAGCATGGTACATAATAAGCATTTTTCTTTTAGAAACTTTTTGTCGAATTTAGTTTCGGCTTCTTCGCTCGGTTTGTTTTCTGTTGGCTTAGTTTCCATTTTTTACGAGCCAACTACATTGCTAATTTGAATGTGTTTTATGGAGGCTAGAAAGTTAAATAACTATTCGGCTTGAAGTTTAGGAATTTTTTGTTGAATAATTTTTCGACTAAGTCTATCGCCTTTAATACTTCCTTTTTTTTCAATAAATTGGTATTGTGCTGTCAATTATTAAACACTTCCGTCTTTTTTTTTTCAAGATTATAAATGTAAAACATGGTACATAATAAGCATTTTTCTTTTAGAAACTTTTTGTCGAATTTATATTTTCAAATTTTTGGAGTTATGGTTTCCGATTGTTTTTGTACTAAAAACGCGTGGAGCTAGTCTTATGTTTATTTAATTTGGTGTGTTCAAGTTGGAAAATATAGTTTGAAGTCGATTTAATACCGTATTGTCTTAATATGTCAACAATTTTCCAAAATAAATTCATTTATTTTGTAAAGTTGAAAAATTTGGAAAAAAAATCCTTTTTTTCTACAATGATTTTTTTTTGCGTTTTTGGCATGACTGTTTCGTCTACGAAGGAATGTGGCGAGTTTATTACGATATTCAAGACTTTGGCTCTTTCCGGCTGACCTTTTTCAGGTAACTGATTTTCATAAGTGAAATAAGAAATTTTTTTCATTTAGCCTACGCTTCATAAGATTTATTTTCTTACTTTTCGTTTGAAACCTATCTTTTGAACTTTATTTTATCTGTACTGCATTTTATCTGTATCGCAAGTGGTGTGAAGCTCAGCTTCGCCTCTGTGTTTACTTTCCTCTTTTCGGCTGAATAGGTGTAGGCCTATTTTTTGTTTGCGAATTTTGCGTAGGTGTTTTCGGCTCTGTTACCGTTTGGTAAATTTTTGCGGTTTTTGCCAAGGTATTTTCGGCTCTGTTATTGTTTGGTAAATATTTTTCCGATGCTTTTTTTTCGGCTTAAAGGGTTTCCGCCAGGGTTTTTTTGACTTGTTGCCATTTTTTAAATTTTCTTTTGATGCTTTTGTTTGGCTTAAAGGTTTCTGCCAAATTAAATTCGGCTTTGTTACCACTTGCTAAATTTTCTTCCGATGCTTTTCACAGTCTAGTGTTTTGTCATGTTTTTGTATCAAAACGTACCTTATTCATTTTGATAGGTCTAGTTTTTTTGACATTTTCGAATTTTTTTTCGACTAGCGGTTGTCTTGTTTTGTATCGCAAGCGGTGTGAAGCTCAGCTTCGCCTCTTTACCTTGCGATAAATTAGTTCGTATACGAAATAGGTTGAAAAGAGAATAAACCCCTTTAAATGAGCCTTACTGTTCGCTTCGAACAGAATCTGAAGAGGTTTAGTTTATTTCACTTACTTTGTGAAACGACCTCATTGATATTGCTGGCTTGAAATCAGGACGTCATATATTAACTGAGGAAATTAGGCACATGAGGTAGGCTATCTAGCAGCCCCTGCAAACAACTTAAAAGGCACCAAAATACCAACTTCCCTAAATGCCGAAAGAGTCGTTTCTTGATGATTTTGTCGTTTCTTTTGTTAATGATTTTAATTGAAGCTCTCAAATAAAAGATAGAGCAATTAAAAGTGGACAATTAAATTTCTAGAAAACTACTGAGCCTCTTATATAAAAAAATGAGAACTAGGAGCCAAAACGAATAATCATTTGAACAACAAAATGACAATCCTTTCGTAAGCGCTACGTGAAGAGGCAGCAATTTTTTTACCTTTATATTTGCGAATGGTACATTTTTTATGAGAGGTCTTTTTCAGAACTATTCTAATACAACAAAAGTAAACTATTCAGCAAGAATATTCTGCGTTCCTGTAAATTGCCATTTTTAGCGCGCAGACATGCTTAGAAAATTTCAGGGTTTGGTTGACCTGATCTAAAAACGACGTTGCAAAATAGTAAATGGGCGTTGTAAAATCGTTTCTAAATCGTTGTAAAATATGATGGACGTAAAATAGTCACTTTTGATTATTGACGGATGGTACCTCAAATTGCTGAAATTTGGCCCTGTGTGTATTATCGCACTGTTGGTTGAACATTTTGTTCCAGCGAAACTTTTTTGACTACGTACGTATCTTGTCTCAATTCAATACGAAATGTCATATTCTTCTACGGAAATCAAAACTGTTTGTTAAAATGAGTGCTGATGCTTTTGTACTAAACGATCCTAAAATCAATATTTCAACATCTGGAAATGAGAAACTCGTGTGATTGAATCTGATTGGGTAATATTACTCAATCAAATAGTATCAGATGCTTCAATTCACGTTTCAAGTAGATGAAAATATTGGAATTTAGATTTAAAAAAAGTGTTGATCTCTAAAAGCCAAGTCTCCTATCGCACTTATTCTAAGAAAATATGTTTTCAAGACTTTTACTGATAGCCTGCACGACCCCACTCGCCACTAATTCTTCAATCATGGCGACAGCGCAAACCCATTTTAAGCGAAGTTTTTGGCAACTTACGTTTAAATCTGAGCTGTATAATCTGGTTACTCTGACTCAGCTAAACAGAGTTGAATAATTTGTTACCAAAAATATTTCCTGATTGATTAAAACTAACACATTTTAGCTGAGTCAGAGTAGCCAGGTTATGTGTTAACAAATCATTCAACTGAGTCTTGTGGAAGTACGTGAGTATCGATGAAACTAATTTTAAATAAAATCTGGAAATATATCGGAGAAAAAGAACACTTGTGCATCAGGGCTACTTTTGCATCATCCGCATGTTTATTGATTATCCTAACTAATACGTATCCTTTTAGGTTTGAATAAATAGTCTTTTTTTAAATATGCTGTACAGTGAAAGCGGTCCAAAAAACAGGTGTTTTAAAACAATTATTTCGTTGAATGTAGGTATTCAGATCTGGAACTGGAAGAAATGCTCCTGTCAATTGAAGAGTTTCATTCTTCAGGAGCTGATGGATTTGTTTTTGGGTGCGTCAAACATTTACCTAACAACGAGGCTTGCTCGAGTGAAGTTATTGTAGACGAAGAAGCCACTTCTAAGTTGATTGCGGAGTGCAAAGGGAAGCCAGTCACGTTTCACAGAGCCTTCGATTTATGCAGCGACTGTGAGGAGGCGTTAAATACGTGCGCGACTTTAGGTAAGACCCTGGAACAAAACAATCTTCATTCATTGTAGTTTTTCTGCAGTTTCACGACGTTTTGCATTTAGACGATTTGCCAAACGCAACTTGTTCTATGTCAACTTGCGCGACATTCATAATCCAATAATTCAATCCATTAATTTTGCGATGCAGTTTTGAAAGTTAACTAGCCATCACAATTGCATCCCGCAACGAACTCGAAATGGATCCTTTTTAAGATTCCAAATACACTTTTTAGAACGAACAGATTTTTTTTGTTTCTGACTTCGATAATGTCCATTTAATGCAACTATAATGAAAATGATTGGCTGTGCAATTATAAACTTGTGTATATTTGAGGCATTTGGAGAATCTTGACCAGTGGAGGAGAGAAAACTGCACTTGAAGGAGCTGAAAAGTTAGCGCGTCTAACCAAGGTGGCATCGTCATCATCGGTCAAGATACTTCCGGGCTGTGGACTCAACTCCTCCAATATCTCTCGATTTCTCCATAAATCAAAATCCGAATTCGACATAGTTTTCTCCGAGTTGCACGCATCTTGTAGAAAACTGAACACGAAAATTCAGACCAAAAACGCAAATGTTGATTTCGATTTAGAGCATAAAACTGCAGACTTGATTCAAGTGAAAATTTGTGCGGATGTTTTGTCAAAATTTCAATCAGTTAATTGAGGAGTTTAAATTAAAAAGCGAATTTTTTTGAGTGCAAAAAGATGGATCCAACTATCGCCTGAGGTTTGGAGGGAACTAAAATCTAGAATGGAATTTTTTTTGAAACTGCCTCGCACCGATCTACGATACTAAGCTGTCTCAAAAAAATCCCATTCTAGATTTTAGTTCCCTCCAAACCTTAGGTGATGGTTGGATCCATCTTTTTGCTCTAAATATTCTAAATAATTAATTTAGTTTTTAGGCAAAAATTCAGTCATATTGATCTAATCAGTAATTCTAGTTGGCGTAGGCGAGGAAAATATACAAAATACCTAAAAACGAGCCAAATAGTAATAATGTAAGCATTTTTCGTTTATTTCTACGCTCTCATATTCAAACTTAATCATTTTGTTCTTAACATTGCGTTAAAAAAATCAACATTTTTGTTGCAGTTTTCTTAATTAATCGTAACAGCAATAGAAGTTTCAAGTTTCTGCCCGGCAAACACTTGCAGTCTTGTTTGCAATTAGGACTAGAACAGCTGTAGAAAATTTATTTGAACTGAAACGAAGCAGTTTAATATCTTTAAATTTTGATGATTTGACACAAGCACCTTATTTTATCGTAATTACCATAGATATGAATCTGCTACACTAGTTTTGTTTTTACTATGGTAATTACGATAAAATAAGGTGCTTGTGTCAAATCATCAAAATTTAAAGATATTAAACTGCTTCGTTTCAGTTCAAATAAATTTTAGGGTTTTTGGTCACAGATATGAATCTGCTACACTAGTTTTGTTTTTACTGTGACCAAAAACCCTAAAATTTAAGCGTTAAAATGAAGAAAAAACTCAAAAATGAGGAGTTTTCTGCAATTAAACCTCTAAGTGGAAGAGTTTTGTTTTTTCTTTGAAAATTGTTTTTTTTCGTCAGTTTTTTTGGTTTCTTTTAAATTTTAAGCTAACACCCCTAATTTTTATATTCATAAGCTCAAAGGTTTTTTATAGGAATTTTTTTAGAAGCTTTTACTCGCTTCGATGCACAGTTTATACTGTGTTTACACTGGCGTTCAGCTTAGTGTATTTTTACGAACCTACTATTTTTCTAACCTAACCCGCAAATACAATTGTTCATTAAAAGAGTTCACTTATTTGGAAGTTTCACTGTAGCATTGGGAATTGCATAGCATCTGTTCTGTGCTTTATTTGTAGTTTGTGTTTGATTAATTGTAAGTTTTCGTGGCTGAGTGGATAGTGTGTGAGACTCGTAACAGCTAGGTCGAGGGTTCGAATCTTAGATGTAACCGAAATTTTGCTAATTATAGGCTTAGTTCTTCTTTTTCTTATTGCACTTAGAAGAGCTGCTTTTTGTCTTGTTATCGGTAGTGTTTGGAAAGCGAAGCCTTGCCTCTCTGTAAAATATTTGAATACTGATAGTTATAGTATTTGAGTAAAAGCACAAAACCAAGGCAGACCCGGAAAAAGAAAAAAAATTGTCAAAGCGATAACTTAAAAATTCAAATATAAAAAAAAGGCAAAAACTTTTTACTTGAAACCCAGGTTAACTTTTGACAAGTATAACGCTGCCAATTCATTAAAAGTTAATTTAAATGCAAAGTTAAATGCCAACTCATTACGACTGAATCCAAAAACCTCGAGCGCGCAAAAATTAAAAAAAAAAACATTCTTACATCGGCCCGTTCAAAAGAATTAAAATCTTTTTTCTTCTCCCCAGATAGACTTTGGTGTCAAAAATGTTCCACGAGTTAATCAAACTTAACAAAATTTTATGGTTTTATTCGGGTGTAGTTTGCGGTGCAATCATATAGGTGAAAAATTTGAATTTCGATTTAAAATTATTAGTTGATGCTCAAATACTGTTTTACTTTGAAAAATAGATTTCTCAAAAATTTTTGAAGTTTCGAATTTTCTCAATAAAGTGAACTGACGTTTTTAAGTTGATAACCCGTTATTCCTCTGTGTGCTAGTTTTGTTGTGGTAGTTTTTTATTTGCCTTGTTTCAGCTTTTTATTTCTTATGAAATGAGCCGAAACTGTCACAAAAGTGCATGAAATTTTCAGTAATAAAATCTTTCTGTTTATCAAATAAACACTTATAAACTTATATCCCAAAATCAAAGCTTAAATACACTGTGTTTTGGGAGTGTAAACAAGTCATGAACTCATACAGTAAAAAACCATTGCAAAAAAAAACATTACGATAAAAATGTCGAATAGCTTCTCAGTTTGAAGAATATTTAGCAAACTATGTGGGTCAAGGCAGACTGTCGTGATACATCAGCATATTTTAACTATTGCGTTAAACTCTAACTAAAAGTTTTCCTGAAAAAAGAATATTTCAGAAAAATGGACTTTCATCGTAGCATCAAAGAAAATGTACCAGTGCGCAGACCTTTTCTATTTGATTTGGGAAAAACAATTTGAATTGCAGGTGTTTTTTATTTCATAAATGTAAAAACAGTTAGGTTGAGAGGGTAATTTTTGGATTGTTTTCGCGTCGGCTTTAATATCAGTTTTTGAATCAAACTTTTGTCGATTTTAACAGGTTAACAGCTTTTCATAAGAAATAACCGAGCTGTTTAGTAAGCGTGGCAATGAAGACGCCAAATCATAGAAACTTCTAAGAGCAATTCTGTGTGTTGACAAGGTAATCACAAAACGCAACTTCTAATAAACATAAGGTTTTGCTTACAACACAGTTTAAGAAGTTGGCCCGACACAGTTGCAGACAATTTTTTTGGTGTGTTCAAGTTTTGATTGTTTTTTTTTATTTTTGAACTCAATTTTTCGTAGTTTTTTGTACCCCAGTTTTTTTTGTATCTAATATCCCTAATTCACCACGCCAAAAAAAACGACAATAATTTGAAAAAAAAACTTTTTTGTATTTTTTAGAGATTATTGTCAGAACAATCTCTGCTATTTGATCATAATTGTAATTTTTGCAATCGATTTGTCAGAACTTTTTAATCAATTTGACGGCTTGTTTTTCGAAACCAGTGAATGAAAAATTGCTGAGAATTTTTTTCAGATTGATTAAGTCAAATCTTTTAGATAAGTCAAGAAGCGCCATAACGTTAAATTTTCTTCTATATCTATTTTAACCGAAGAAATTTGCTATCAGTAATCAATGCATTTTGGATGGATATGCACGGTCTGTACACAAACAACGTATCACTCTATTGCTTTGTGGTTCGACGAAAGTCCCATATTTGCTTTTGAGATCTATTTAAAAGTTTTTTGATTGTACAATTGAATTAGTTTTGTGAAGTTAAGAAATATTTGACTAAATTTTCTGAAATCTGATTTGGTAACTGTGAATTCACCATATTGACCAAAATTTTTTGAATTTACCAAAAATTGGTCTAGCTGAGTTGGTAACTGAGATTCAAAAATTAAAGGTTTGATTAAGAAAGAGAACTGGTTTTCAAATTTTGTTGCACTTTGATGATTTGGGTGATTTAAAAGAATTCGCAATAGTACTGCTCTACAAAACTGTTTATCTTGATTCGTACCTAAAATAGAAACTTTTTGTAAGTAAGTTTCATCCAAATTAGAATGTGGCTAAATCATTTAAATAAATCAACATTAAAATTAGCAGATTCGCCACCTGTTGATAGTCAACTTATCACAACTGGAAATAAATTTAAATTATTGTGTGAATTTCACTTATCATTTATATCTTATTTTTTTCTGCTTGTTTTTGAGAACAACAATTTTTTTATTATTATCATTATTTTAGTAAGTTAGTAAATTTTTTGTCGCTAAATATATTTACCATTGATTTGATAGCATTTTGAGGCCAAACTGTGCTCTGGATAGGCGCACAATATTGTGTCTCTATGTTCCTGGATTCCAGAGGAAATCTTTCAACACGTTATACTTGTTGCGGAATCAGCCTACAATTCACAAAATACCCAGTTTGGCTTAGTAATGAGTGCAAAAATTTTGGGTTTTTCAGAGCCTTATTTAAAGTCAAAGCATTAGGGCTGTTGAACGAAACTAGATACTTAAATGTCAATTTTAAAGCCGAGATATAGGGATTTTTCTAAGTTTTATTGAAATATGTTCATTTTCTGACAAAAGAAAAAACTCGAAGCTAAATTCAGCAGCGGGTCAATGATAAGACTGGTCAATGATTTTTTAAGAAAAGTTATTTTTGTATAATTTCTTCCGCAAAAACTGTCTACAAAAAAAAATTCCGCTGTAGTTTAAATCGAAAAGGTCGAGAATGATCAAAAAAATCAAAAAAGCAAATTGAAAAAACTCAGTTATTATCAAAAAAAGTGTTCTTTACCGAAGAAGGGTCAAAATGACAAATTTAAGGAGTAGCGGCCGACTTCGTGTTAACAAACACTATTTTTTTTAAAAAAGAATTGCTTAGAAGAATTAACAAATGCTAATTTTTTGAAAGGAATTCCTTTGAATTGTTTCAAAAAATACCAAACCGAAAAACAAACGAATCCGTTTACTTGCTTCATTGGTCGCTATCAAAAGTTTTAAGTGTTTTCAAAAGTCTAGGATCAATTGAAACCTATTTGTTTCTGTGTTTTATTTTGTTTCAAAATTCATATTGCTTAGATAATATTTGTAAAAGGATTATTAAAAGCACCCATTCTTTATTTACCCATTCGAGGGACTCTGAATAATGAAAATTTTTCTTGCCCTCAAAAATAAATTTATTGTTTTTGCTCGCTCATAATTTTGCGTATAACTAGACTAACAATAAAAGTTAACAGTTTATGTTTAACTACTGCTTTTTATCGGGAAACTCTTGTCTCAATTGCTTGAGGCTCCGAAAACATTGCTTGTGGCTGAAATGGTCTTAATATCTTCAAAACTGACAAAACATATTTCACAATATCAAAATGAAAGATAATTGCTACAAATCGACGCTAATTAGTCTATCCGTGACTTAATAGTGCCTAATTTATCAGTGTTTTGGGAACTTATCAAATGGGTTTCAGTACTTAAAAAATGGCACCGTTGTGTAACAAAAAAAAACATAAGTATTTACAATTTTGATTAAAACATTTTTTTTCTTTTGTATTGATCATTAT